GAATCTATGAAACAGGCCTGCATGAGACATTGTCATGGGCTCTAGGCTCCAGTTGGACTCGTTGGGGGCATTATTATGGACCCAAGGTCTTCAGCTGGACTCATGGAGGACATTGCCATGGGATCCAGGCCCTCAGCTGGATTCCTTGGTCTTTAGCGTGTGGACACATTCCTGCACTCTCTTTTTGTGTATGATTCTTTGGGCGACTATTATAGGGGATCTTATAAAATGTGTGTCCTGTATGGTATTGTTTCTCCTTGTAAAACCCCAGACTACGACAACATCCAATTCTTTTTTAATCCTCTCCCCTCCCCACTCCCTCCCTCCACCTCTTGATCCTCTTCCCTTTTGTGAGAGATCTGTCTCGTATTTCTTATTAAATTTGTGCTCTTTATTTATACTGTGATTTTCTCAATTAAGAGAAACGATGTTGTGTTTAAGCTTGTGCATCTGATTTAACTTATGTTCTCAAAGTACATCCTTTTTCCTGCAAATGATTCAAATAATTCTTTGTGGCAGAGTAGTACTCCAGTATGTGGGGTACATTTTCTTTATCCGTTCATCTGTTGATGGACATACAGGCTGCTTCCAAGATTTGCTATTGCTAATTGTGCTGGCATAGTCTGCACTTGCTCGATGACAGCTACTACATCAATCTGCAGCTATCAAAAATGAGGGGAAAAGGCCCTCCAGCACTTGGGAGGCTGAGGCAGGAGGATCGTTGTGAGTTCGAGACCAGCCTGGGCTACAAAGTGAGCTCAAAGCCAGCCTGAACTGCATAGTGAGACCCTGTCTCAAAAAGACAAAAGAAAAAAAAAAGTTCAGGCTGCTCACAGTCCATGTAGTATTGAGATATTCTTCCTGAGATACACACCTGTCCACCCCCTCGCTTCACTCCGGGCGGGCTCCAGGAGCACTTCTGGCCGTGGTAGTGCAGCTGTGTGTGTGGAGCTGCGGCTGACTCAAGGCCAGGGCACTGCAGGGCGGCGGTAAGGCTTGGGAAGTTCTGAGCCTGCAAGATGAACAAAGGCAGGAGGGTCGCTGTGAGTCTGAGACCACCCTGGTTAGTAGCACCTTTGTTCATCTTGCAGGCTCGTTGGCTTTTGCTTCTTTGTTGAATGATTCCAACTGTAAATCTTTTAATAATTTTGTGGGGGAAAAATGAATTGTGCTGCTATTAACATAGGTATGCATGTATCCCTGCAGTTTTGGGAGGAGGGTTTGTTTGTTGGGGGCTTGTTCTTATGTTGGTTTTTTGAGACAGGTCTTGCTATTTCAAGGCAGGTCTGTAGTTCAGGCCTGGCTTGAACTTGCTGTAGCCCAGGCTGGCCTCAGACTCCCAGAGGTCCTCCCGTGTGCTGAGATTACAGGTGTGTGCCACCACGCCTGGTAAGGTTTTTTTTTTTAACTCTTTCAGGAAGATATCTAGAAAAGGAATAGCAGGGTCAATGGAATTTCTTGTTTTAGCTTTTTGAGCCCTCTTCATAGTGATTTCCCAGTGGTTGTTCTAGGGGTCGGGGATACAGCTCCGTCGCATAGTGCCTGCCTGGCAAATGTGAGGTCATGAGTTCAATTCCCAGTACCATAAAAAAAAAAAAAAAAAAAAAACACAACAACAAAAAGAAACAAATTAAATGGTTGTTCTAGTTTACATTCCCACCAGCCAGGTAGAAGGGTTCCTTTCTCACCCCACAGCTTCACCAGCGTTTTTCTGTTGTTTTTTTTTTTTGGAGGGATACTGGGAATTGAACTCAGGACCTTGCTTTTTTACCAGGCAGGCACTGTGCCCCTGAGCTATATCCCTGGCCCCTGTGATGTGATTTCTGGATGGCAGCCATTCTTCTGGAGTAAGGTGGAATCTCAGTGTTGTTTTGATTTGCATTTTTCTGTTGCCCAGAGATATTGAACATTTTTTATAAATTAATTTTTTGGTACACTTTTGATGTCCATAACAGTCACACTCATCATTGGGAATTTGTACCTGTACATGGTATATCTCAGTTCTTTCTTTTCCATCCCCCCCTTGACCTTCAGTGCTTCTTCCCCTCTCCCTGTGCAGAATGCTGTCTTTATTGTTTTCCTTTTGTTCTTTTTTTTTTGGTCTTTATGAGCCAGAGTCTTATTATATAGTCCAGTCTGGCCTTGAGCTCACTTTGTAGCCCAGGCTGGTCTCAGACTCACAGTGACCCTCCTGCCTCAGCCTCCCAAGTGCTGGGATTACAGGCCTGTGCCACCACGCCTGGCGACCTTTCATTCTTTTTAAAAAATTTTTGTTCCTATTCTCTCCCTTCCCTTCCGCTCTCTCTCCCTTGTTCTCCTTTCCCTTTGAATATTTTCTTCCTACTTCCAAATATCTATCCCCATTGTGCCCTTTGTTTACCGTTTGGGTTTCTCATAGAAGAGAAACAATGCAATGTTTAAACTTGTGTCTGATTTATTCCACTGAGAGTTTTCAAGGTGCATCCGTTTACCTAGAAATGTCTCAGGCTTACCCTTCATCATGGCAGAGCAGTGATCCATTGTACATAAATGTCGCACTTTCTTTATGCATTCATCCATTGATAGGGTATCTGGGCTGTTGCCAAGATTTACGGCAAACTGTGCTTTACGAAGGTGGGTGTGCACACCTCGCTGTGGTAACTCTCTTTTTTTTTTTTTTGGTACCAGGAATGGAACTCAGGGCCTTGCACTTGCCAGGCAGGTGCTGTGCCACTGAGCTACATCTCTGGCCCGATGCTTTTAATTCTTACGGGAAAATACCTAGAAGGGAGCTAGCTCTCCCTTCTAATGGAACCTCCAGTTTCGGTTTTTTGAGGAATCTCCGCCCTGGTTTCCACAGTGTTTGTATCGATGTACACTCCCACCACAGCCTCAGCAGCAGTTGTTATTGATTGATTTCTTGGTCATAGCCATTTTTTCTGAAGAAGAAATCTCAGTGTTGTGTTAATGTGCATTTCTTGAATGACTAGTGGTGTTGAACATTTTTTCGTATGTTCATTTGCTGTTTGTATTTCTTCATCTGAGAAGTCTGTTCATTTCAGACGCCCATATTTGCATTGGGTCATTACAACTTGGGGTGTCTTTTTTTTTTTTTTAGTTCTTTATGTATTCTAGGTATTAGTCCTTTATGGAGGAATAGCTGATAAAAAATTTTTCCCATTCTGTAGATTGCTTCTTCACACTGGGTGGTTTTTCTTGCTGTGCGAAAGCTTTCTAATATGGTGTGAACCCCATTTGTTGATTCTTTGTAGTATTTCCTATGCAATCAGGATTTTGTTCATAAAGTCTTTGCCTATACCTATGTCTTGAAGAGTTTTGCCTATTCTGTCTTGCAGCAGATTGTTTTAATATTTAGGTCAAGGATCCATTTCAGTTTTAGTTTAGTGCATGGTGAAAGATACGGGTCTAGGTTTAATCTTCAGCATGTGGAAAGCCAGTTTTCCCAGCACTTTTTTTTTTTTTTTTTTTTTGAGACAGGGTCTGTGTAATTCAGGCTGACCTCAAACTTGTAACAATCCTCCTGCCTCAGCCTCCCAAGTGCTGGGATTACAGGCATGTGCTATCATGTCTTGCTCCAGTACTATTTATTAAGAGGCTGTCTTTCTTCCAGTAAAGGTGATGGCCCCTTTGTCAAAGATAAGGTAACTAAGTATATTTGGAGTTGTTTCTATATCTATTCTATTCTATCCCATCAATCCTCAGGTTGGTTCTTTTTTTTTTTTTTTGGTTTTTCTCTGGTACCAGGAACCGAACCCATGACCTTGCGCTTGCCAGGCAGGCGCTTTTGCCACTGAGCTAAATCCCCAGCCCCCATTTTTTTTTTTTTGCCTCTTTGTTTTTTGGGTTTTTTTCCCCCAGTACCATGCTGTTTTTATCACAGTAGCTCTGTAG